TCGAATGAATAGTAGAATAATATTGTAAAATAAAATTAAAAATAACGTCGTCATTTTAGAAAAAAAATTATGTTGTTACCGTAAATATAATTTTTTGCGCCTGTCAAATTTGGGATAGGATTCGAAAAAATTTTAAAAGTAAAACGAACCGGACGTTCTTAATATATTTTCATAAACTAATTTCATACTAGTTCATACAACTAAAAGAGGTTAAGTATTTATATTCTTAACTTTTTAAAGTCTGTGATTGCTCAAGTAATAGCTCAAAAAACATTAATATAACATATTTTGGAATACAAATTTATTTGGAAACGTTTGAACCTTTTATATAAAATAATACACAATATGTAATTTGTTAAATTAGTGACTAGTTTGGCTATAAATACCTAATACATTATTAACAATAATTGCCTTCAAATACTGGCTAATATGTATCTATAAACAAAAAAAACAAATTCTTCACAAAGTTCTTTGTGAAGAATTATAAACAATTTAAAATATACTAAGTTATTATGTATCATTAAATCTACCTAAATACAAATGAAAACACCTAAATATGACGGCATTGCAATTAAACAATTTGGATAATCCTTGTAATCTATATTCTTATACTATATTAACACCTGCTGTTGCTATGTTTATTGCAACCTTTCTTTAAGACGTCTTAACCTTTTGTACATGTTTAGTTTATTGTTTGTAAAAGTATTCTTTACTGTTGTCTCCTGTTAACAAAAATTTGTTGTTATTATGTATGTAGTTATAAAACAATGGTCATAACATAAATAAGGGACATCACACATATTTTTTTAAAGTTAAGATAAAATTACACAATGGATTAGTTAGAAGTGCTGGGATAAAATTTAATTATTATTTTTAAAAAAAATTAAGATTATTAAGTCATATTGAAAATTTAACATACATGCGTAGGTTAAAATATACTTACACAAGGGAAAAACTTAACATCAATCATGTACAATTCAAAAAATGTTGCTGCGACAATCATAGGTCCTGATCTTCTTTCACAAACATCTAGCTGTACAGCAAATTTTCCATCTGGTAACTCGGCTAATGTTTCAAACACAGGCCTCATAGCTTTTTTTTGACTGGATAATCTATACACAAGAATACTTCCGTCCCTTAGACCGATTAATACAATATCTATATAAAAAAACAAAGCAGTTATTGGGGGGAAATCAAGGTATAAATGTTGATAGTCATCAGTTTCAATTTTAAATAAGGTTCTAGAATAGCAAATAAAATTTTTATCATCAATTGCATTTATGTTCTTAATGTGTACTATCCATTCTGCTGGACATTTAATTTTTTTTTCTGTCACAGAATTATTAGAATCGAGTTTTAGAATTCTACCACAATCAGTAAATAGATATATGTATGCATCACAATATTGAATTTCTTTAATATCATAGTTGCAGTTCAGTATTAAATTTGGTGTTAATTCTTTTTGCAATAAATTACATTTATAGACATCTCTATTATTGAAAAATAATAATAAATCCCCATTTAAGACATATTTATCAGCTTTAAAGTAATATTCAGTATTATAATTACGGTCTTTTAAAGTTCTTTGAACATAAATCCCAAATTTAACTTGGATTACAGTGGCATGGTCATTATTACTTATTTTTAAGTAGTTTTTCTCTGGTAGTGCAACAGGAATGTATTTTAAGTCGGTCATGTCGTAAAAGACTGTTCCTTTTACATCTTTCAGTGGTAAAACACCATAATTTACACCTAATACATGTGAGCGATCATGCAAATTGAATTTATAAAATACTTTTACGGTTTTATCGTAAGTAGAAACGTCTGACCAGAGTTTAAGATTTCTGTAAACATGATACCAACTCAGTGTATCCCCACTTTTATCTTTTGCTATTCTTGACGATTTCTTAAATTCTTTTCGGCAAACTTCTTGCCAGAGAATTTCCGTATTATCGATGGCCTCTTTCCACTTTTTACACACTTTTCTACACTTCATTAAAGTGTAGCCATCTATTTTGATAATAATTTCTATAAATGTTTCAATGGGTAAACTATTTATCGTTATTAAAGCACTCATTTTACCTGACGAAAGTAGTAATTTGTTTTAAATTTTAATTAAAAAAAAAAAAACTTTTTTATTTGACACACTTTTTATTTACATTAAGTTTATTTTGGTTTAAGCATGACTTTTTATGACCAATCAGCTGATATCTGCCTCGTGACTTTGACGTCTTACGTTACCTACATTTCGCTGTTATGTTGGCACTTGGCAGCTAAACCTACTCTGGGGCTTGAGACAAAATTACTTTTCAACATGCGACTAACGCCTAACAAATTTGTATGAAAATGTCACGTGACAAAGCGAGACCTAGATTATTATTTTTTGAAGTTATACTTTTAGCGCGAAAAATGATGAGTAAATTTTTACGATGCGCGCACACACCGTCACATATAACCGACACACTGAAGTTACCTATAGTCAACATTTTAGTTTTTTTCTACAAACGTAGAATAAAATTTATGAAAAGATTTTTATCTTGTTTCGCCAAAGAAGTAAAACTTCTATCTCGTGAACATAAGTACACACACCCTTTTTTTCTTATGTCATGTTAGTGGGTCACGCCTATCTAAAAGTGATTTTGTACTCCTTTAGCTTTTTTCAGTTTATAAAATAATCGAATAATTTAAATATCTCGGTTAGACTCGAAAACCAATTGTTTAAATCGAACTACTGAATCACATACGATATTATTTTAAAAAACAATATCTCAATTTATTTAGTTTTATGTTGCTGTGTTAATTTCATCACCCGCCCGCAGTGGAGTCGTTTAAAAGGAAATCTGACTATATACCTAATCGTTTGATTATATTAAAAATTTTTTCCGTACGATAGATATATTTGCTACGGAAATGGAATATTTCGTCGCCTTTCAACTGTTCCAAGACATTATTATAATTACAGGCATATTCAATTCAAATATAAATTTATTCGACGCTCAGAGATACCCTTGTTTATCGAAGAGAATAACTTTTCTGATAGTACTGCCACTTAATCTTGTTAATCCTACGAGATCTCGTCATGTTACACTTCGGATTGATCTTGAAAAATGACACGGGATCTCGCGGGATTGTATTACTCAGTAGTTGGATATATTTGGTGAAATCGGCAAATTCATAAAAATGGGGGATTTGAAATGAAATTGTAAATATTAAATAACCAACAATAGTTTATTTAATCATTATATAACATGTCCAAATCAAATAGAAAATTCATATTTAAATTGAGTGAGTGATCAACCATATAAATATGTGATTGTAGTATATAATTTCCTTCCTTGGATCCGATTGCATCATTCATTAACCACCAAAATAATCAAAACAAAGAATCTAATAAGTATAAAAACAAATGAATAATAATTATAATATCACACAGTGGAACTTAAATGTTCTATACTAAACGCCTTAAAGTATGGACTCAGAAATACTTGACAAGGCAACATTGCATATAAAAATAAAAAAGTGGTAATAAATTATGATTAATTTAGTCATACAAGAGAATGAGATATTATTAGGAAGTGGACAAAATTTCTCACATACGTTTATAGGAATGGCAATATTACACATACACACAAGGTCCTATAATGTAAAATATTGATACACTTATTTAACATTAACAAACATGTATATAACATTGCATTGGTATTGTTTTCTATTAAACTTTAATTAATTAATTTTTACAATATTTATGTGTGCTTCAATGATATTTTTTTTTTCTCCCATAGCGCAGGCTATCGACCATACCGCCTAATCTTTATGATAAACTTTTTGGCGCCAAAACAGTAATGTCAACCGTCAAGGATGTACTCGTAGTTGCAACGTCAAACTAACGTAACCTGTCTTTACATGACTATCGTAAAATTGATCACTGGCCATATAAAGAAAAATATTATGAATCTACAATAGGGTCACTACTACTAATAATTGATTATAAATGTCATTTTGTCTAATTAAAAAGTCTTTTCAATACATTAATAAAACCTAGAAATCTATAATGATTTTAAAATACAAATTGATTACATGATGATTGAACGGTTTCCTTTATTACTTATATATATTAAATTACAAAATAAATGCTTTAAACTTAAATTTCGGAGCTAGTCACTTTTGGGTACCATTCAAAATCGAGACTTAGTGCTCAGTATATCAAAAAACATATTGGAAATTGACAAGTCGCGCTAAGTCTCAACTCTGAATTTTACTGTGAACGTAAACTTCTACTTGTCAATTAGTACATTATCAGATTATGAACATGATATTTCTTTTTTAGTTATTACACAATGCATATTAAATCGTCTTACTGTTAGATATAATATAAAATTAGAATCGCTAGTAGTTTTAGAGAACACATTTTTTTTTGCCCAGTTCAAACTAGCAATTAAAACATTATAATATATCCGATACAATAAACATTTAGTGGTAAAAAGTGTAAATGTTTACCATATATAACTAGAAATGTTGCCTGTTTAAAATACTGTACTGTGTGTTCCAAAAAACTGTGTTAAAGATAATAAGTCAAGTAAGTAAGTTTACAAGGCCCATATGTGAAATACAATAGTATATAACGACTGAATTAATATATGATATTTTGGAACTTAAAACGTATCCTTCAATAAAAAAAAAAATTCTTAACACATATTTTTATAAATGCACAAAGTTTTGTTAATAGATTGAGAAATAGGTGATTTTACAGCTAATATACATTAAGCCAAGTAAAAATATTTACAAGCTTTACACAATATCGACTTAAAAATAAAAAATCACAAGCCGCACATAGGAATTCACTCTTTAGGTAATATAATAATTTACTAAAAAACAAGGTCTTTTAAAAACATTTTGAATAAATCATCTTTTGCTTATCTAAAACTATAAAAATCACAATTATAAGTACAATGGTATGTCAAAAGTGTTTAGGGCAAATGTCTAAATAATTTACTAACTTATCACCTATTTTTGAGCATAGAAGATACGACTAGCATCGCAAAACTACCGATCAGGTAAACCGTAGCGGGAATAGAGGCTAATAGCCTATATCTTTCCTCTGCAAAAAAAGAAGTTTCATTTTTAATAAAGCACATTATTTGACCATAGATAACACAAAACTGGCAATAGTATAGCGTTGCCATAGAGTATAGAACCCACACCTTGCACAAACATTAAGCATACATGATTTTTAATATGTTATTTGACTTACAGGTTGTTTTGATGTAAAAAAATAAAAACAAAAGAGGAAATGAGATTCAACACGGAATAAATTAAAGGTACTACTTATCTTTCCTTTAGATATTTAAGTAAAATATATATTTTCATTTGTTTTATTTTGTCATATTGACCCTTCTAAGAATATTCAATAGTAAAAAAATATTTTGAAGTAAATCAGCAATCCATTAATAAATATCCCAACACATGCAGGTAATTTGTTATTAAAAGAAAAACTAAATAGATAAAATAATTATTTTATTTAACTCGAGTTAGTACCAGTCTTATTAATACTATTCAACAAAATTACATTATCTAAACAAATTAAGAAAATCAGACTTCAAATAAGAAGCTATTATAGCTAACTTTAAATAATTTTCTATTTTTAAAACTAGCACCCTGTCTCGGTTGGATATTCTAATTTTTTTTTGGAAATTATTCAATATTACTTAGGGATAGACGTTCCTTGGCGAAAAATTTTTATACATCGTACAGGGGAAAACGGGCAGGAGGAACACCTGATGTTATGTGATACTGCCAAAAGAGTTACGAGTGTTGCCGGCCTTTGAAGAATTACTACGCTATTCATCAGGACTCGTAAGTCGAATTGGTTCGAAAATACTTCAGCTGGCAGCTGGTTGCACATAGTGATGGTGCGCTGCGAAAAGTGCCTTACGAAGCACGATTATTTGTGACAAACAAATCTTTCCTCTTTATAATATTAGTATAGATATAGAAACTACAGTTGTGAGCAACATCAGCAGTTAAAGTTTGTATCAAAAAACCGTTTAAAAATCACCAGTTATGTTACTGACGTATTTGACAGTTTAGAACAAAGATTTTTAAAAATGGCGGGAAGCCTCTCAAAATGCATTCGGTTTTTCATTCGTGCGATTGAAACCCCCACGTCCATTTGCATATCGTGTTTCGCCTCAACAACAATGGGATTATCATCAGAATCGAAAATTATTTCTGGATCATTTTCAATAATTTCCTCAATAGTTGTCCAGTCGGTTTGCAACTTTCTTTTATTCTTGCAACACTGGCACGCCGTGTAGCCACAATTTCTTTTACTCTGGCAACATTGGCATATGCCGTAATCGCATTCCCTTTTGCTCATGAAATACTCAGCGTCATCTAGTATCGTATGTTCATCTTGAGGTGACTTGTTTGGTACAAAAATAGAGAATTTCCTAGCAGAGTTTTGAATTAATTCGTCTATGCCATCGTCTGTGTCGGTATTGTCTATGGACGCTTTTCGGCTGGAAGGCGGGGATATTGTGTTAAAACATTGTGTGGTACTATTTTTTCTTTTCTGACCTGTCATTGCGATGGATTTCTTTGTGGTCGCCCATCCGAGTGAGCGTTGCACAGCCATTTTCCATTTCGTGTATCTCACGTCCCGATCTGCAATTCGTAAAGATAATGTAATTAAAAAAATGGATATGGAATACTATTTTTATATATTTATTCTGTTGAAGATTAAATTGCATAACTTTTTTTGTACCATTATATATAGTGTATTTAAACTTGTTTCTAAACAGTAATAGAACTCAGGACAACCCATATAAACGATACAGTGTTCAGCGCACAACGCGGCCAAAATCGGATAACAAATTTCACTATAATTTGCGCCGGGAATCAAATCCGATCCTAAATCTTAGCCAATGTTGGAAAATATTATGAATAATGCTCAGAATTAGCCTTACCATCATCTGTGGTGGTAGGAAGGAATGTATCAGTAGGCGTAGCATGTTGCTTCCATCGCTCGCAACTCCAAACTCCAACCGAATTTCCAGCCATTATAGCCACGCCCAACGCCGCCATGTCCCACGTGTGTGCACGCACTGGTAACACAATTAAATCCATACAAAAATTGTAAACTATATTTAATCAATGTTATTTTCTCTGTAATCCTATAAAAACTGTTCTTATAACTATAAATCAAACTCAACAAAAATTGAACACCTAAAACGTATTAATAAGTACTAGAAAGAACCAAGAAACACTCGTATTCTAAAACGTATATTTTGATATAGTCTTAATTTTGCTTTGAAATCTTTCCAAAATAATGTTTTGGAGTTTACTCCTTAAGAAACGATTTGAGTTATAAGGCCCGGTACGGAAATTTTATGAGGAGTAAAATCAAGTGTAACACGAAAAGTTGAGGCGTTATGTAGAAAGAGACAAACATATATATCTGTAGGATTGAACGTGTAAAAGAATGAGATGGAATACATTACACAGACTTTTCTATTTTGAATTCACGTTTTGACAGCCACGTTACAACATTGTCAGTGTTGACAGGTGTAAAAAATAAAAGTAGATTGTCTAGCGTGCCATAGAGTTTTGTCAATAGTAATGGTCAGTGAAATTAAAACTAAAAAGATTGTTCATTCTTATTCTTCTCTTACTATAAAGGTAACTTTGGTCACAGAAAGAAAATCCTATTTGAGCATAGATGATGTAGGTACGTTTTATTACTACTGCAAACATTTATATTATAAAAACATATATTCTTACCACCTTTAGTATGAAAATATGGTCGACAGCCACAGAACATTATCGCCATCTTTGTTCTGCAGTGCATTTGACACAAGCCGAAACTATAAGCCTGGGAAACGCCACAGCTTATAAAGTATGGAAGTCGTTCGTGCCGTTTTGTATAGAAATCAAGATTTATTTTAAATAGCATACTTTATGTAATACGCTTTATTGAAGTAATATAAATAATCCGAATAATTACAGATATATGTTTGTTTCTCTTATCATTTTAGCAGATGCGTTCATTTACCCTTTTTTTCTATTCGATATATATCATAATTATCGTTCGTAAGGAGTAAACTCCAATCGTGCGTCGTAGCTGACACACACACACTTTTTTTTTATATTATGGCAATAGTTTCAACTTTATGCAAAATAATGTTTGTCTTTTCAAGTTCAAGACAAGATTAAAAAATATCAGTGTAAGTAACAGAATTAGACAGGCGAATACATTATACATTATTAACAAGCATGCTTTGTCAACGACTAATTTGTGAGCGTTTTGTGTCACGTGGCTAATGTAAAAATCAACATTCTTTATTTATTTATATTTTTTAAACACATTAATCTTAATAACTAAAACCCTTCATACTATCAAAAAGCCTATTGAAATAGATATAAAATAAAAAAAACAATCAGTGGCGCTACAACCTTTAGGTCTTGGCCTCAGATTTCTGAATCTGTTTCATGATCATTTTAAAATATAATAGGCAAGTAGGTGATCAGCCTTCAGTGCCTGACACACACCGTCGACTTTTTGGGTCTAAGACATGTCGGTTTCCTCGATGTTTTCCTTCACCGTTCGAGCAAATGTTAAATGCGCATATAGAAAGAAAGTCCATTGGTGCACAGCCGGGGATCGAACCTACGACCTTAGAATGAGAGTCGTAGGCTGAAGCCACTAGGCCAACACTGCTCAAATAGATATATAAAATAAAATATGCTTGGAAAGAATACTCACTGACAGGAATGCCAATAAGATCGGTCTGCAATTGCAATAGTAAATCGTTCGACGTCATTTTCCCGTCAACGTTGAGCTTTGTCAGCGGCATACCACAATCTTTGTTCATGGCTTCTAATATATCTCTGGAAAAGGTATATATAGTTCAAATACTAGTCTATGAACCATAGTATATGAGTGGATAGTATATAGTCTATGGACAGCGTCGGTCCTTTACAAAATATAATTAGTGGCGCGACAACCTCAGATTTCTGTAACCGTTTGGTAATCTTTTATTTTTCTTAATAGTAAGATGATAAGATTTCTTCGACGAGTTATTTTTTGATTTCACTTCAAAAAATAACTCGTCGAAGAAACGAAACTTCTTTAGCGGCGTTGTACACTTTTTTTGGAATGGGTAAAAATTTTTAAACTCACGTTATAGCAAAATGGTCTATACTGTTGTATGTAGTTATTAAAAAGGTAGGCGAAACAAAAAAATAAAGGCGAAACGACGTTCGCGCACCTATTAATATAATAAAAATAATAATTAACTTATTCAGTCATTTTTCCATTTTGGCCAAACGAGATATTGCGCGTGACAGGCCCCGATTTTTTCCAAATAAGTCTATAACCTTGTAATAAATTCCTTAAACATCTATACAAAATGCATTAAAATGATTTCTTATTTGTATTGATTGGTCTTTAGAGAATTTTATGCATTAAGTGTTAATTAGTTTTACATATACGATATTTATCGGTTTAAAATAAAACCTCTTATTTATTTAATACAAACTCAGTATTGTCTATGATTAACATAACTTTTATTCATTTAATAAAACACTATTTTGACCGGATTGAAGTTATGTATTATTATAAATTTACAACTATTTAACATAGTCTCTCTCTCTATCTTTTAGTCGATACCAACTCCGGGGAAATAAATACAGATAATGCAACTTTCTCTGCAGCTGTGATACTTTTTGACATTCAACATCTTTTGTCTTCAGTCACCGTGACCACGCACGCTGTAAAGCACGCGAAACGTCGGATAAATTTAAAATTATGTTAAATAATTGTAAATTTATAATAATACATAACTTCAATCCGGTCAAAATAGTGTTTTATTAAATAATACAAACTCACCTAGTCTGAAAACAGACGGCTTCCAAGGCAGCGCGAATGATGTGATTCTTTGTAGTGAATGCAGTGAGACCACAGATTATTCTAAAAAATATAATCCCTTTATTAAAGCTTTATTAACATCGCATTGAATATTTAGAAATGTTTATTTTTTAAGATTCTAACAGTAAAAAGTATTACTAGAAGACTATTATCAGTTTAGTTAAAACTATGTATGCAGAGGTTATTTTTCTTTTTAAGACAATTCACACGAATTGACCTAGTCCCATGTTAAGCTGGTGAAGCTTGTGTTATGGGTACTAGGCAACGGATATACATACATATTATAGATAGATAGACATATAAATACATATTTAAATACCCAAGACCTAAGCACAACACCAAATGCTCATCACATCGATGTTCGTCTCAGCCGGGGATCGAACCCGGGACCCATGGATTCGCAGTCTAGGGGTACTAACCACTAGACCAATGAGTCGTCGTATTAGTTTGTAATAAACACAAATTTAAAAAAAATCAGAAGAACCCTAATATTAAATATATAAATGGTACCCTCTTGCATCCTTCCTCCAATAGGGCGCATACAACCCACTAAACGCGGGTACAAAATACACATCGCCCGTCGAGAAAACCTGTCCTGCTATATGCTCCGTATCTTGGGCCACGTCCTTAATCAATTTAAGATTATCCCGAAGGAACTTCATCGCACCACCAGCTACTGCTATCGAGCCTGGAATATATAACAAATTATTTTTATCATTCATTTATTAACACTTTGATTAATCAAGAAGACAACGGTTCTTCGCTAACAATCGATCTCTTTTAGGTAATCCTAGTATAAAGATGTAACAAAAATAAAATTACAATTAACAATCAACACTTGTACAAAACGCAAGCAAGATTGGACATCGCGGACTGTCATGCCATAAAAGTTGCAGGCCGCTTCTCGAGACATGCCGCACTTAAGGGTGCGTCCACATCTGGCGAATATGCCGCGAATGTGCGGCTCGCGAAAACAGAATATGGTAGCGGGCGGAAGGAAGACGCCGCCTGCGCGCTGACCACGTACGGCGCTTAGGTTGCGATCGAACTGCGCGCGGGCAGCGCAGAAGCGGCCCACGAACAAAAATGCACGCGCGCAGCTCGCAAACGCCTCGCGAGCTGCACATTCGCGGCATATTCGCCAGATATGGACGCATCCTAACGATATCATACGCCGGTCCCTCGCCACCGTCAACGTGCGAAGTATACTCGAGCCGACTGGTATTGCAAGAGATGATGGCAAGAGACCGGACGGTATGAGTTTGATTCCATGGAAGATGGGCGGGGATGCAACCTGTTCAGACACGCTGGCCCCTTCCCATCTACATAGAACAAAAGAGCTGGTGCGGCTTGTGAAGCGGCTGAAAAAGCATGCAAATACAGCGTTCTAGGCTCCGAATATGATTTTGTCCCATTATGTGTCGAGACTCTTGGTCCGTGGGGTCCTAGCGCTATAAGGCTTTTTAATTAAATAGCAAAAATCTTAGTCGACATCACAGGAGACCAAAGAGCTGGCAGCTCAGTTGTGGAACGACGGAAGTCGAGAGAGGTTTTTATCCACAAAATTTTCTTACCTTCCAAGGCGTAAACTGCTGGCGCATTTGGTCCCAACTTATATGCAACAGTGGTCAACAGACCATGGGTTGATTGCACCCGTCGGGTACCAGTGTTGTATAAGAGGAAACACCCGCTCCTATACGTGTTCTTCGCTTGGCCGGCTTGAAGACAGTTTTGACCCACCAGCGCTGCTTGCTGGTTGCCTAGTATCTGCAATAGATAGATAGATACAAATGTTTAATGAGATTATTTGTCGAGAAGACTGTTACGTCATACTAGTTCAACAGCATATAATAAGCTTAAAAAAAATAGCTGTTTGAGATATTTATGAAATGGGATTTTTTTTTCCATTTTTGAATATTTCAAATTGTTATAATTTTTAAAAATAACTGTGTGTTTAGACTCTAGACATACAAATTATTCTTACCCCGGATATCCGAATGCCATCTAGAACTGATCCATCTCTAACTATTCCATATATTTCCGAACTGCTTCTAATTTGTGGTAGAGACTCTCTATGGATGCCAAATAATCTGAAAACACCATACGTTTTTTATTCATGTTTAAAAAAAATTAAAACATCTTAAATCTTATATATCTTTTAAAATATCTATCTCCTAGAGTCTGGCTAATGAAAGAAGATAATTGAATTATTTGAAAAATTTCGGATGGCAACACAGAATGTCATTGAATTTCGTAGGTTAGTATTATTTATTGTCTTGATACTTCATACAATTACTCATTTTTATTTCTATGATATATTTTTTCCGAATAGTTAACAGGTATAATAGCCTAAACTTTGTTTTATTGATTTTTGGATTCTGATTTTGATTATTCCGAATAAAGTTGTGTTTTATAATAAATATAATTTTAGTTTTCCATGCAATGCTCGTCATTTTAAGTATCAATATTAAAAGACTAAATACGTATAGTATTTAATTTCAAAGAAATACAGTTACTATCAATGTAAAAAATAATAAAATAAAATCAAGTATCAAGTTTAATCCACAAAATATATCCAACTTTTAGTGATACCATATTAAAAAAAATTGAATTTGCCGCGCTTTTTCGTTATCTTCTTTCATTAGCCAGACTCTATAAGTTTTTTCCTCCAACTTCAATTATGTTCCATTTGGAGTTGATACTCTTGGACCTTGGGGTTCAAGTGCACAGGCACCAATTAAAGATTTAAGTTGGCGCCTGATAGGTAGTACCAGGGAACCCATAGCTGTTGCTTTCCTCGCTCATTGAATACAGTATCGCAATACAGCGAAGATGTGCTGCCACAGGGACCAATTTTTATAAACGTATTTTAATTTACTATATATTTATTTTTAATTATTATTTTTACTATGGAGGTTTATTGTATATACTTCTTATTATATTGTATTATTTATTATTATTAAAAAAAGCGCCAATTTGAGTCTTTTTAATTTATTCCTAGAACTGAGGAAGCTTTTATAGAGAGATTATTTCGAATTAAGGAAACAAAAATTATCAAATTTAAACTCACCGACACAACATAGGGTCCCAATTCAAAGTCTCCAAGTTCATCAGCAAAGTCCTAGACGCGTTCGTTACATCAGTTATATGCAGACCTCCGTGTGGACCACCAGTGAGGTTCTAAAATATTTCGGTTTTCGATTAAAAAGAAGTAAAAACATTACCGCACAAAGTAAAAAATTTTGAAATTTAAAATTATTTCATTTATTTCTCTACTATGAATTGGACAATCTATGGACTACGTTAAATATAAGAAATCTTAGTACTGCTCGTAACCACCAGGGGCGCTGTAACATTTTTCAAAAATATTTCTCATGTAGTATAGGTTCAGTTCATCCGCCCGAAGTGAGATGGTCGAGTCGGAGTAGGAATGGAAAATAAAACTATGTATCGGATGTGGCACGGCTATTCTTTGACTAATTTTAAAGGGATACAGTGTACATAAAATCCGTGATGTGAAAGTGATTTATCAATCAATATTGAACTACACATTTAAGATATTCTATAGAAATCTTTTACGGGTGTAACATATCGTTTGCCCCGGGGAACAAAGTCGTAAAGAACTATAACGACAGTTTTAATGTTTTCTCATTTTTGATTTCTTGGGGTGTTGTCATTGATATACAAAAACCCAAGATGCACAATCAACGTCTAAAAAACGTCCTCAAAAAATGAGCGCAACATTCTAAATTGTGCGCTCATTTCAAATAGTCTCGCGTCTATAAGTGGAGTCGATGTTATTTATTTGTGTTTTTTTTATAAATAAATTTATGTACTCTTGAACTTTTTTGTGTGTAGTTTTTGACAAATATATTTACGCTATATAAAGTGTGGGTCAGGAGGTAGCCAATTTAACATTTTTTTAATTTAAAGAAAAAACTTTTTAACCGGATTAATGTTATGTATTATTATAAATTTACAACTATTTAATATCCAACACCTTTTGTCTTCAGTCACCGTGACCACTCACGCTGTAAAGCACCCGAAAAGTCGGATAAATTTAAAATTATGTTAAATAGTTGTAAATAAAAAAGTCATGTTCGACTCCACTCAATACCTTGTCCTACCGACCACGGTCGGTCGTAAAATTTTATTGCTTTAAGTACGTATACACTGCGTTGTAATAACAACTTTAAGCAATTCGCGTAAGGTTGACTTTGCAATAATATATGCTTGTAACATATACTGTTATGGACAGAAATAGTGTTTCGGGACACTTTCGAGCGTTACTTTTATTCGAGACTGTGCATCTTGGGTTTTTTGTATATCAATGGGTGTTGTACTAGAACTGTAAGTTTTTTAGAATTTTTGCTAAACATTTTGATGTAAAAAAACAAGAATGTCTTTATTCTACGTAAATTATGTTAGTAATACTCGTTTACCGAATTTTACTTTTCTGAAATATACAGCAACAACCATAATGGTAGTTTATGCAACTGTCATATAATAGAGGGTGTTAAAACATGAGTGTACACGAGTGTTTTAATACCTAATTATATGCAGTTGCATACACTACTTTATTTAATCTCGTGGCTATAGGTTTCCAAGTCATAAAGTCTTGGTACCATTTGTCGTACGCTTTTCTTGATTTTTCTGGCAAAAGAATATTCGTCAGTTTCGTAGCTGTTTCTAGAATGTCAATTTTCATAGTCGGCGTTGCTTGAAATTTTTGCTAATAAAGTTTTATCCAACAAAATATTACTCAAATTCGTATGTACGAAATAACGCCAAAATGTAAAAAGTCTATTATTGGTCTATTGGCTCGGAACCAGCGCGCTCACCACAGATTATGTGTACTTAAATTGAATTGAAACCTCCTTGGTTGTACATTTGTACACATTGTACTTTAATAATTAAAAAATATTTAAAGCATTATTCTCCTACCGAAACAATGCTTTAATTTACTTTAATAATTAAAATATGCCAAAAAAGTCTGTATTTAATTTCTAATTAGAATTTACCAATGAGATTATATAAAGAAGTATGTATTTAAAATATGCCAATAATATAATAATGCGACTGTCCAAAAACAAATAAAGAGTGGTAATAATATATCTCTGTTTCACCACGGTGATAAGTTATTCCGCGAAAAGAGTGGTAATAAATTATTACGTTCTAGACATTCGTCAAAATTATCGTCGTAATGTGCGGTTACTGTGTCGTCCGTAATTATGTTTAAACAGTGAAACATTTTTGTTCTTCAGTCTAGTTAGATAAATTTATGTAATGTACATTTAGTGTCTTTTTATCTATTTACATAATACATAACAACAATGTTTAAATCGTACTAAGTATACTATTAATAATAGCATTACCTTCTTTTATTTTTCCTGAAAAAAAAAAGGATTTTGCTTTTACGACTTTGTTTGGGCGATATTGTATCACTGCTGATTGAAATAAGCCAAGCCTAAATGAAACTCACCCATACAATCCACGAGTCAACAGTTCCGAACATAAGCCGCTTATCTCTACTGGCTCGTCTCACGGCTTTTATATTATCCTTCAACCACCTCATTTTGAGAGCGCTGAAGTAGGGGCTGATAGGTAGACCGCATATGTTTTTTAGATAGTTCTTGTTCCTATCCGGCACTTTCGCGAGTATCGCATCGACTGTACTGTCTGTGCGTATGTCGTTCCATGCTGAAATAAAAAGTTTTTTTTTTCAGTATAACATGATTAAATGAAAATACACTTTAAGCGGATTATTCGCACAACAATTTTACTTATAATTATTATATAGTAAATTTATAGTTTTTAGAATATTGTGACCGAAGGATACGGACGTTTTTGAACAAACCAAAAAATATTACGTATATCACCTATGGCATGATGGAGTGGTTCACCGGTAAATTTATCCCAGGCGATCGTTGTCTCTCTCTGATTTGTAATACCAATTGACACTAAATCTTCTTTGGAATAACCTGAAAAAATAGTCCTATTACAGAGGCACCTATAAACGTCAAAAATCTTTTTTCTATTATAAAAATACATTATTATATTTATATAAAAATTTATGCTGTTGCACATCAAATATCAACCAAAGAACGTGACGAACTAGCCACAACCTCTTTTTTATTTTTCGAGATGCTTGCAAGGAGCTGCAATCATAACACCTTTATAGGAGTGGAATAAATCATATTTATCTACATGGCGCGCGAACATTAGTTTTTTTGCTTTTATCGCATAGAACACAACAAAATAGCATAGTTAGTAATTGTGTTGTCATATCTGTATTATGGATCTAGTTTAGGTTGTGGGAAAAATTGTGGGAAATTTCGAAACTTTAGTAGACTTAATAAAGACAATATAACAAGATATAGCAATATAAATATAAAACGAATGTTTTTGATAGATTTTCGCTGTAGAAACTCATTTTATTGCGTAAACCTTTTATGAATAATATAATACAAATGATAAAATAGTAAACAAAATTATAAATATTTTATTACACTTTGGAAGATCAAAGATACGAAATCAAGATTTTCCACTCCCCTGAATATCGAAGAAATCTTATAATTATCTACATCACAGCGTTTGCGTTTTCAAAGATTTACTTGTTGAATGATAAAATTATGTTTAATATATATTTTAACATGAAAATGTTTCGATTTTGGAGCAACTTTGTTAGACCGACCTTAGATGCTTCTGTATTGTTTTAAACTTATCAGATATAAATCCATTAAATAAAAAACAATATTAGGAAATCATCTAAGTACTGTGGTACTGGAAGCAAGTATCTATAGTAAAAAGATCCAAAATATATATTTTAAAAACGGGAGCGCAGTCAGGTCGTAGGTTAAGCCGGCTGTGCACCATTAGACTTTATAAATGTGCATTTACGAGTGAGTGATTCGTACGGTGCAGGAAAACATCGTGAGGAAACCGGCATGTCTTAGAATCAAAAAATCTACGGCCTGTGTCAGAAGGCTGATCTTGTCTATTAAGAAATGTACATACAGACATACAAACATACGGATACAGAAATTAGGCCTACATCTTAAAGGTTCTATCGCCACTGGACACTGGTATTGGTATATATATATTTTAAGAACTTACTACTTTTACGATTGATTTAAGGCAATTAAATAAATCTTTATAGCACTTAATGAACAACTAAGAGTACTGATAGATTCCGGAAAATACATTGTCAAGAGTCATAAATGGGGCAAAGGTATTTTATTTTTGTTTAAAGTATACTACAAGCGCGAACGAACTATAATTATAAGACATGCCTATACGTTTGTAAGAGCAGCGAAAGTAATTAGAAATTTCAAATCAAAATAAAATGTAACCCATTTCATTGAGCTGGTCGATCGCGTTCTCAGCACACTCCCTGATGTGATGCAAAATTTCTAATGGGTCCTGCTCGTACCAGCCTTCCTGTGGCTGCAACACCGTCTTATCTAGCTGATGAGCTGCCAATTCTTCTGACTGTTCTGCTTCGTATATCTGGAAGATTAAAATAGCTTTGTGTATTCTTAAGTTCCATTTAAATACAATGCTAGTATCCAACTATTTGTATATCGCGAAAATATATGGTGTTAGCAACACTGACATCATTTGCGTGTTGTTCCCACGAGAATGTAAGTGCGTGCTCCTATTTCAATAGATAGAAGACAAATCTTTGTTTTTAATTTATTTTATTATTATTAATTACTTAAGACGCAATGTGGAACATGGTGTAATGGTTGCAGCTCCTTAAAAACATTGTGTAAAACAAAAAACTTGGCGATTAAAAAGAGTGGCGGAGAGTTCATTGCCAGTTCTTCTCTTCCGTTCTACGCCCTTGATTTGAGAACTGGCAGTAAATGTAAAATTAGAAGCATTTCATATGTACGTATATGAAATGCTTCTATTATTTTTTGACGTTCATAAGAATACATTTTATTACCAATATGAATAAATGATTTTGAATTTGAATTTAACATTTAATTAACTCAGACAACACAAATCGCTGTAGAGGACACGAAGAAAGTTAGATAATGTTAAATAATTCCTAAATTAATTGGTAAGTGATAATTTTACAAAATACAAAAGGACCCTTGTGCCACATACTTTTCTTGGCCAGCGGCTGAAATTGGTAGTACCGTCGCCATTTTGAAATGCCAGATAGCTGTAATTTCTTGGTGCGTACGATATTATATTAATAGTACAGGTAACAAATCTTAGCATATCCCAGTTGTTTCTAAGTTTGTGTCACATTTATTTAAGCCTAGAACTATATTTTCTAGATACGAATATGCATTGGTATATTAAGACATTTCAATAAATTATTAAGTTAGCCTGCATGACTAAAAATTATTTTATTTACTGGCAATACTGATATACATGACAGCGACGCTCTTACCGGCCAAGAAAAGTATGTGGCACTGTAACAATTAAAAATTAGTGCCGCTACAACGTCTTGGCCTAAGATCTCTGCATCTTATTTCTAATAGGTTTTCAGGATATTTTCCTTCGCCGTAAAATGGTAACTGCGCACATAGAAAGTAAAGTCCATTTGTGCAAAGCCGGGGTTCACATTTTCGACCTCACGGATAGGAGTCGTTTAAGGCAGTAGGCCAACACTACTCTTTAATGAGAGGCTAAACATTTGATCAACACCAATAACCAAATATTTCGCATTTATAATACCTACATATAATTTTATTTCATACTATGCTTATGTAAGCCTGATAGGTAAAAATAGATGTAGAGTCGAGCCGAGCCTATTAATATGTTCAAATGACCAATTTAATATTCGTCCTGAAAATTATCTAGAACTTTTCTATGACTTCAAATTCGTGTCAAACGATGCTCAAATCTCCCTTAGCAATAGCACGGTTAGCAGGTGTGCACACGTCGTAAGTAAACTGGCATATCATGTCAAAAATACACCTTGCAGACACAGCATCTACATTACTAAAAAAAAGATGCAATCGGAATCCTAGATCCATAGCATTTTAATTTATTATGTTATAATATCAATGAAAAACGAAGCAAACATTGCGTCCTGCGATTATTAAAGTTTATTATATATATAAAAGCTTGCCAACGATTGGCACACTGATAGGTACATTGGTAAATTAAGAAAAATAAAATACAAGATTTGGTAAGCACAACATAACTAAAACGAAGATAAAAAATACAACGAGTCATAAATTATAGAAACTAAAGGAAAGTTGATTTCAAAGTGTGAAGGGAGCAAATATGGATATCTAGATCAAGCTAGTTATCGGCGAGTTTGGCCAAAACGCGTTCTTCTGAAAGGCGATGATGGCATTGTCTGGGAAATCTAGTGGCAATCAAACTGTTTCTTAATATAGATCAATTAATTTTCTACGACATCTTGTGTTTATCAGGAATGTAATAAAATGCTTGTCAAATGAAAGACTTTGTTAAAAGGGTTTTAATAAGGCCGGATAGGTATCCGGTATTTTAATAAGGTTATTAAAAAGGCTTAAATTAATACGTATACGGAATAACTAATATATGGAAAGAACATCTTCATCATGGTAACATTATCGAGCTTTAAGTATTGGGTTAAAAAATAAATAAGCTGCATAATAATGAGTTTTTATTATTAACAATAATTATGGGTCTCAACATCCGTAACGCACTGAGACAAGCTGATGATAGAGTGGTGTCGAGGCGACGGATCGGTTAGTGGAAGAAAAAATACATATAGAAATATACATGAGTTTTAGACACATTATCGTAATTAGCAGAGATATATATTTTCATTAGGTAGCTCATACATTATCAGTCAAGGACACAACAATCTAGTATTATCCATCATACTGATAATTTTACACAAAAATTACGAGTCATATTTATATTAACACAGTTTATTATTTAAGGCCAGCAACGCACTTGCGAGCCTTCTGGCAATGTGAGTATCCATGGGCGGTGAAACACTTCGTTCGAAGCTGGGTTACTGATTTTAATCGTGGTTTTTGTTGCACACTCCCTCGAGAGGGGCGAGCTTTGGCCCGTTCGGGGCATATTCCCCCTTCGGGTGGTGTTTGTGTTCGCGCCCTGCTGATACAGGGCGGTACGGGGGCGGACAGTATAGTCCTTGGTGGGGGCTGCAGCGCGCGGGGAGACGCGGTCTCAACTCGCTGCGCGCAGCCGATGGGGTGATTTTAATCGTTTAAAATATGAGCTTATAACTTACATAAAATTAGGGGTAGTGGGGGTGCGACGCTAACGAACTAACTTGGTTTATCTAAAGGTTCATAAATCTATGTGTATATCATAATCACTTCAATACAAGTACAGTCTATCTTTTTGGACATTATTGGACACAAGAATGTTGTATTACAATTTATGAGTATGGAAAAAACTAAAGGACTCAATTTGGCTTCAAGTGTTCGACGATTGCTAACATTTGGTTTACGCTTCTAATTATTAACTAAAATATATATATAATTTAACTAATGTCACAAATTATGATTTTGATGGCATAATATTTTGCCATCCTTATTTTCAAGACGATAGATATAGATATTACGCTTCTTCGTATTATAAACATTTACTTACAACAAATCTGACAGTCTTGGTCCCATCATCAATAGCTCCCACCAGTGATTTCCCCAAACCCTCGCGTACCGGCATTTTTGCACCTAAAACAAAATTTAAAACCGTTATTAAGGTCTTGTCACCACGGAATATGCAAGGCACGTCATTAAACAATCATACTTTATAGTATTAACATGCGTCTTTCCTCACGCTGTTCTCCTTCACAGTGCGTGAGACGAGGGTTGAGAATCACGCGTTGATTACTGCTTAGTTAATAAGAGTTTTTTTTAAGAAATAGAGATATATCATACAAAAGATAACCAAAAATTTCGGACCATTAACATTGTTTTTGAAATGTAAAAAAGTCGACAAAGAGCGTAAAGTATTGCTCTGCTAAAGGACCAACATTTTGATTGAATTACGACAACGTCCGTAATTCATTTTAACTGATATAAAAACAATAGGTTATCAGTTCGTGTATGTTCTAGCATTGAATGGAAGCCTTTATTGCAAATATTACAAAAACATGGACTTAATGTAATCCTTATTATAGTACACGAATATAGACTATTTTTTATTACTCGCCAATCTTAAGATGTCCTATAGGAAACCTTTTCGCTCCTCTTCAATTACACAATGAAACAAAACTTTTAACGTTTAGACTTATACTTAATATATTTATTTATTTATTTGCTCAACAGTATTCTTACAGCTACTCACTAAACAATATTCAAACAATTACATTGTACACAAAAGCCAAAAACGGAATACACATTCAAACATAAACAAAGCACAGTTTCACTTATATATACAAATAATATAAGAAAGTATATATAATGTATTTATAATAAATTCTAAGATTCATTGATCATTATAATATATATTTAATATAAAGGAAGAATAACTAAGCCATTATTAATAAAAGATACCAGAGTTTTTTAAATTATTTTTTAAACATTTTTTAGTTACATTAAATATATCTATTTGCTGGTAATTTGTGTTATAATCTGAAGGTATACGATACATGACTGAGTTACGTAAATAGTTTGTATTAGACCGAGGAATTTTAAATCGTTGGGTTTGCCTTGTATTGTATGAAGAAGGGGTGTGAAATAGTAAAAGCTACAATAAGTCAGGACAGTCAAACCGTTGCAAATAGCGTGTAAAAACATAAGGTCTATATAATAGCAATATTATATAATATAGCAGAAACAAACACCGACCACACCGCATCATACATACATTCTTATTGTGCAACAATAGTTTGATTATAAAATGTGTTAGGTAGGAATTATTGTCAAGTACCGTTAGGCCACGTTCACACGGCGACCATTCGATTCGATTTTTTCACGCATACGGTTTTACCGTATACGATGCAATCGTTCACACGGCAACCATTCGATTTGATTTTTTCTTTGATCAAGGAAATAAAATCCTTGATCAATATTGGAATTCTGTCCCCCATATTGACAATCGACTGATGTAACGCACAAGGGCAACTGCGGGCCACGCGTTTGAGTGCGTACGATTCTCGAATGGGCGAGTCGTGTGAACGAGACAACATGAACATAAGCGCCACTGCGTGTCGTATTCGATAAAATCGTTTTGAGACGCGGCGTTTCCGGTGACAACTTCGCACGGTATACGGTCAAATATATTTCTCGAACACGGGATTTTCCCGTATGAACGCCGTGTAAACAATTTTTAAGATTTCATATATATTCTGTTGTCACTACTCTATTCGATAAAATCTCGTATACGGTATACGGGAAAATAATCGCCGTGTGAACGTGGCCTTAGCATGTCAAACTCACTAGGTGTCGCAGGGAATCCTAGTGTGAGGTGCACTTTCTTTTTACCTAAATATAATTTTTTATATATGATATAATTTTCTAGCATAGCTCCTTCGTCCGTAGAAGTTGATCTAGGTATGAAATATTGTGCATGACAACTCTTTGGTATGGAAATCATATGGATAGTGAATTATCTGATCCTCAACGAGTGATTAGCCACATATAAATCCATGATTTATTACACTATATGAACGATTACATCGTCATACACATTGATTTTTGGCATAGCCTAATCCGATCTCCATACACCCACATATAACTTATATACGGCCCATACCAATAATAAATAATGTTAATTATTAGTCATATTATTTATTAAATGAAATTAATACAATTTTCCACATAGTTATCAATGTCATTAACACTTATCGCTAGTCTCCTAGTCGCACTTATCCTATTAAGTAATAATCGTAATTTTCCATATCAATTAATGTTATAAATAGTTACTTTTAACCCTGAGGTGGTGAAATGTACGTATACGACAGGTATAACACTGAACAAGATAAGGACATAAAAGTATCAGTGACGAATTTAATGGAAATAATGTTCAACAGGTTAAAAGGCATCTTTTTGGAAATTTCTGTAAAGGTCATACAAAAAGTTGTTAAAAGAAATAGGTAGTAGTGTTTAATCATCCGGGTTACCAATACCATTTACGTAAGCTATTTAATACCTCCGACGACTACATCAGTGGCGCTCCAACCTCTTCCGGTCTGGGCGTCAGATTTCTGGATCTGTTTCATGATCATTTTTTCAATATAATAGGCAAGTAGGTGATCAGCCTCCAGTGCCTGACACACGCCGTCGACTTTTTGGGTCTAGGTAAGTCGGTTTCCTCACGATGTTTTCCTTCACCGTTCGAGCGAATGTTAAATGCGCACATAGAAAGAAAGTCCATTGGTGCACAGCTGGGGATCGAACCTACGACCTCAGAGATGAGAGTCGCACGCTGAAGCCACTAGGCCAACACCGCTCTAGATAATTCCCCGACTATGTAGTCGTCGAAAAATGGATGCGAATGGAGACGAAAGGGAAAGGCTTGTACCATTATGCATTTTTTTAATAAATCACGCTCAATCAACGCATTTTACGTAGGACGGAAATTTAATAAGAAAAAAATGTGTGTGTGTGCGTGTGTGTACTTACGTACACGCGTTAGAAGTTATACATACTTCTTTGGCATAATAATTTTCTTCGAGCACTTTAGAGGGACGTTTCCCTCTTCGAATTGCATTTTTCTTGTCCATTTTAATGCTCACTTCCAATCGAAACGATATACACTCGGCGTCAAAAAAATCGCACCTTTCTTAAAATTCGTGTCAAGCGATTATAACTTCTAAGATCCTTCCTGTACCCTATCATTATTAGTATCATTTAAAAGCTCAATTAATAAGCTTTCAAAAAAATAATAATATCATTTGTTCACGGAAATTCAAAAACCACAAATCGCCAGCACTTTGATTAAATGTAGCGATGTACGCCTTTGGAGGCTCACTAATTGTACCACCCTGGACGCGTATAAAACGAGGGGGTAAAAGTCAATTATGGGTCATTCGCTATCCAGACGTCACAGAGGTCACACCTGAAGAGCTTCGACAAGAAAAAACGCAGTGAAAATGGATACCATGGCAGAAGAAGCAGCTCAAGTGGTGGCCCTACTGCAAACCGGACTATGGCAGGTTGAAGTTGCTCGGCAACTGAAAATCAGCCGATTTCGAGTGTAATGGGTATACCAACGGTTCCAAGAGACTGGAGGTTACATCAGGAGACATGGTTCCGGGAGACGTCGCTGCACTACCGTTAGAGATGATCGCTACATAGTGTCGACGTTTTTGCGGAACCGCTTCTCCACCGCTGTGGAGCTGCAACAGCGGCTTCGAGCTACTCGAAGGACAGCAAACAGCGTCTCCACTATCAGAAGAAGGCTGAGAGAGAAGAATTTGCTGCCCCGGAGAGCTGCTACAGGCCCCCAATTGACTGCCATCCACCGAACGAACAGGAAGCGATTTTACGAAAAGCACGTGCCGTGGACATTCGACCAGTGGAGGAATGTCCTGTTCTCCGACGAAACCCGAGTGTGCCTGTACACCAACGACATGCGTAAGAGAGTCTACAGGCGACCAGGGGAGCGTTTCACACCAGCCTGCACCGTGGAAACCGTCGGGTATGGAGGAGGATCCTGCATGTTCTAGGGCGGCATTTCTATCGACGGCAAGACAGACCTCGTGTGCGTCTCCAGAGCTGGAGATGGTCGCAGCCAGGGGTCTCTGACTGCCCACCGGTATATCACCGAGATTTTGGAGGAGCATGTGGTCCCATGTGCAGGTTTTGTCGGCGCCAACTTCGAGTTCATGCACGACTACGCCCGGTGCCACACAGCCTTGATTGTCAAGGACTACCTACGTCGAGTTCACATCAAGGTTATGGACTGGCCAGCAAGAAGCCCAGACATTCAATCCTATCGAGCACCTCTGGGACGAGCTGAAACGGCGAGTTCGGGCCCGTAATCCAGCTCCTGCCACTCTAGATGAGTTTCGAGATGCCGTCATCGAGGAGTGGCACAATATTCCCCAGGAACACCTCGTGACGCTCATCAGGTCCATAACTGACCGCTTGGAAGCTGGTCGGAAGGCTAGAGGAGGCAACACTAGGTTTTAAGACTAATTTTTAATTATTGTTATTGTTTATTTTTAATTTTTGTATTGTTCCTTTTCTTTGTTATTTTGATCAGAATACACATTGTTTCACATTTTCCCAGAATTTTGTTTTTTTATGGGGGTGGTGACCAATTTCCTACCGTTTTCAAATAAGGGATTTCATTAGCTTTCAAATGATATTAATAATGATAGGGTACAGGAAGCATCTTCGCAGTTATAATCGCTTGACACGAATTTTAGGAAAGGTGCGATTTTTTTGACGCCGAGTGTAATATGTACTAAACATGATATTTTACAATAAACACTATGTTTTTTATCACATTGGAACGGGTTTTCTCGTATAGAAATCATTATTTTGGTTTAAATAAACACGAGTCTGAAAAGCTCTACGCCATGACAGACAATTTGACTTGTCGATAAAACAGAGCAAGCGCCAAGTAGCGGCCCAGACTGTTTTACCGACGTTTGAACAGATATTCAGGGTGTCGGTTTTTTGTGACGGTGTCGGTTCTTTGTGACGGTGTGCGCGTGCATCGTTAAAATTTACTCTAATATTTTTTCCCTAACGCGCCAAAAGAAGTATAAC